CCCTTGTGAGCATCAAGGTGTTAGATCACGAAAGAGCACCAGAAGCCATGTGGGGTGTGACAGGACATTATGCAAGGTTGTGGGGACCAGTGTTGGTAACTATCGAGCTCATGGGCATGAAGAACAGACAGAAAGTTTACTTGGCTGTCATTGAAGAACAATGCATATTAGGATTGGACTGTCTACTACCGAGGAAGTGTGTAGTTAACTTCGATAAAAATGACGATTGGAAACAACAAAGGCCAGACTCCAGTAAGAGTTGCTACATTCGTTGATCTGCATGTCACAACACTTAAATCAACTACAATACCCCTATGTCAGAGAATATAATTTGGGGTGGAATAAAAGAACATCCCCATGGAAGTCCAATGCTTGTAGAAGCAGTGGAAGACCCATCCAGGCCAGCAGATTTGAAGATTGGAAGGTCACTTGTAGCAGGTCATCAAGTAGTACCTATAACAGTGGTCAATTTCTCTAAATGTGAGCAGACACTTAAGGAAGGGGCATTGTTGAGTGTGTGCCAGGAGGTAGAGCCAGTCAATGTTAAAACAAGGAATACAACAGTAAAGAAAGGACATACACTTCTAGAATATTTGACTGACCTCTATAAGAAGAGCATAGTTCCTTTGTCATCATCACAGGCTCTTCAGGTAAAAGAACGTTTGGCAAATTATGCTGACGTTTTTTCGAAAGGAGATCATGACCTCAGCTGCACAAACCATGTAGAGCACAGAATAAACACAGGCAATTACCGTCCAATAAAGATCCCTCCAAGGAGAATAGCTCCAGCAAAGCGACAAGAGATAGAAAGGGTCATGGATGGTCTAATTACGGAAGGGATAGTCGAGAAATCAGATAGTCCCTGGTCAGCTCACGTTGTATTAGTCCAGAAGAAGGATGGGACCAAATGTTGCTGTGTGGACTTCAGGGCTCTTAACAGCATAACCGAAAAAGACTCATACCCACTGCCAAGAATTGATGATACTCTTGATGCCCTAAGTGGAGCCAGGTGGTTTTCAACTCTGGACTTAAAGTCGGGTTTCCATCAAGTAAAAATGGCTGAAGCAGATAAACCCAAGACAGCATTTAGTTATGGCCATGGTCTCTGGCAATACCGAGTGATCCCATTCGGGGTCAGTAATGCTCCAGCAACATTTGAGAGGCTGATGGAACGAGTATTGGAAGGCCTACAATGGAGTATAGCCCTAGTGTACCTGGACGATGTCATAGTATTTGCAACAACTTTTGACGAGGAAATATCCCGGCTGGAGGAAGTATTCAAGCATTTGAGAGCGCAAACCTCAAACTCC